CAACGTGGGGCTTGAACTTACTTTTTTTTTTTAAGATTTTATTTATTTATTTGAGAGAGAGAACAAGTGGGGAGGCGAGGGGCAAGGGAGAGGGAGAAGCAGACTCCCCACTGGGCAGAAAGCCCAATGCGGGCCTCGATCCCAGGACCCTGGGCTCATGACCTGAGCCAAAGGCAGACACCCAACTGACTGAACCACCCAGGCACCCCACCTGGCATGTATTTCTTAAAGATTTTATTGGAAGTAAAGACAGTAATTTGTAAGAATAATTCTAGCAGAAAGACTTAGGATTTTGACAAAAAAAAAAAAAAGCAGTGAGGAGAAAATAAGAGGTAACTGGGATCTTGTACTTTGACATTTTTACTCAGTGGCACAATCTCTTCTACACAGTGTAGAATGACAGAAAGAAGTTTCCATTTGCCATCCAAGTGTGAAAAACTGAGTTTGGAGAAGAGTGCTTATTCCCTGTTTTGATTGAGAAATGTAGCATGAGACAAACCATAAGAGACTCTTACTCATAGGAAACAAACTGAGGGTTGTTGGAGGGGATGGGGTCACTGGGTGATACATTATATGTTAATTAACTGAATTCAAATTACAAAAAAAGAAATGTAACATGTTGAATTTGCCACAAGGGAAAGGCATGTACTAAATAGAAAATCCTCACTTTGCTCATACAAAAGTTCAGGACACTTCATGGTAAATGAGGTATGTATGGGAAATGCTTCTGTTAGCCCACTTCATAGTGACTGGATAAGTAAGGGGAGAAGAGAATATGGCATAGGGCCCATAGAAATCCAAGATATTTTGGAAATGGAGGAGTAGAAGTTAAAAGTTTTTTTTTTTTTAATCTTGGCACAAACATATACTTTTAGTATCAGGGTTAGGTAACTCAATTAAAACTAAGAACTGTTATAAAGAAAAACACACTAATGAAAAGTGTGTATAGGAATAATAAAATTTTGAGAAAATAAGAAGCAGGTTTGCAAGGCACTGCTATGCATTTACAGGATTTAGGTTTTTGTGTTCTGATAGTATTGATTAGGTCACACTGATTTATAATTTTTTTAATGCAGAATAAATCATGCTTTTACACTGAAGAAGGAAAAAAAGATTGGTTAAAAGTTTTGTACTTGGAAATGTAGCTCTATGAAAAGTGTTTTGTGGTAGAGATCAATGGTAATTTTAGGAAATGAAACCAGAATGAGATTACATAAAGTCCTGAGTGACTAGGAAGCTATATTTCAAAAGTTCTTTGAGGTTTTACAACATTCTTCATCTTCAAAGTTCTTTCTGTGATGAAATAAATCATTTTTACTTTATGTTGGCGATTCTTTGGACAAGAAGAATGAAGACTATTTAGAAATAAACTACTTTTTTTATTCCATGTGTACAGTAAAGAAAATTATTTTGTTTCTAGTAGTAGAACCAAATCTTCCACTTTGTATAATTTTGAAAAGTGAAAATAAAACAGTACTGATAGGATCCATGAGGCTAGCAGTTAGAGAAAATGCCAGTAACTACTATTAGTACCATTATGATTACAAATTCACTTAAGAGTTTAAATTAGAGCTTTCTTAGTTTTGAATAAGCCCTTTTCCTACTAAACAAACCTAAGGACACTCGGAAAAACCCACTGGCAGATTTAGTCATTTAACTTGACCCTTCATTGCGTATTTTATCTCTCTTTAGAATTATGGAAACTACTGTATCTCACAAGGCACCCTGCAACTCATTTGTCAGTAAATAATTTAACAAGATCTGAAACAGATTTACAATGATTTACCTAACAGCTTTAGTCAGTTAATATCGAATGTATTTTAGCAAAGATAAATTTGGAATAAGCTAAATATAGAAAAGAGAACCACTTGCTGAATGAACATATTAGAGGGAGTATACAAAGAACCACCTCCATTATTGACCTTGAGAACATTTGGTGAAAGTGGTGATTCCTACCTAACTACCACTCACCACATGTGTCTGCTGGCAAGAAAATTGGATAGGTCCTTTTCCAGGTGGATGACTCAAATGACTTAGATCACCACCTGAAATGGTCATTGTTAGACTTCATGGAGAGTACAGGTGTCCACCAGGTGTTTGAAAAACTGCCACCCAAACTTGCTGCTGCATCCTTGATAAAACCAGGGCTATAGACCCGCCCCTTGATTAGGAGTGCTACAAGTTTACACAGTGCAAAAAACAACCTTGTTACTAGTAACACATTTTCCAGATCACTAAGAAATAGGGTAAAGAAGGAAGTTATAAAAGTGGAATTATTTGCATTGGTATTTAGTGAAATGAATAAAGTCTTCTTAAATTGCAGGTGCCAGGATAATCTAGTAAACACTAAAAGGTATTTCACTAACATACTTTTTGGAACTCTGATTTTAAAGCCTCTGATTAGATAAGCAACACAAATAACTGCTAGTGTTGGGTGAAATGTTTTTCAAATATACTGGGTTTGGCAAAACTCCAAACATGTTTTTGAAGGACTTTTCCCTTCAGTTTTTGAGCCCAGGTACATATTATAGTTAGTTTAATCCTGACTCATGTGTAAATCATCAAAGCATTGTTTCATAAAAAAAACCTATCTGATTTCCAAATAGAATAATATTTCTTTACATTCTTATTTGTATATTTAGTACAAAGAAATGTGAACTACCAATGCTTTAAGTTTGGCTTAACCTTTATAAAGACTTCCAAAGTCAGTAGAGTAAACTATTGTTTATTCAATACCCAAACAACCACAGAACTTGAAAAATAAATATTTTTCAGGACATTATTTTTTTAAGAAAGTAAAATTGCTGGTATAAGAACTTTTCCAATTTTCATTGTCAGTGTAGATTACAACACTATCAAAGCCTTCAAAGAGAAGAAAGGGCAGTTATTTAATAGTTATGATTATTTTTTCTTGATTGTAAGTTTAAAATCCTAAAGTAGTTTATTGGTTTATTTTTTTTTCATTCATTTACTCATTCATTTGTACAGCCAATGTAAGTTAACTGCCAGTAACCAAAGATACATGGATCAATCAGATATGGTTTCTGGCTTTGAGAATGGATATATGCAACTAAGACTATTAACACACTCAAAGACGTTATTAAAGAAAGTCATTCAAAGGAAAATTAAACTGTAGTTTAAAATTTCAATATCTTAACCATCTTGGATGAATGGATATTAATTTAAGTTTCTCCAAATAATGGAAAACAACAAATATTTGTAAAAAATTCAAGTATTGTAAGCAAAAGAGATTTTTAAAGATTGGAATAGCTTAATAAAAATATTTTAATAGTGGTATTTTCTTTGAAAATTTCAATTTACCATGGAAATTTTGTTGGCTCATTGAAATAACATTAAATTATTACCTCAATCAACATTTCAGGTCATGACCCTTGGATTTAAGAAATTCTTCAAGACAACGTCCAATATGATCCAAGGGAAAATGTGATTTGAGTCTGGAGACAATTGTGTATGTAAGTATTGGAAAATTAAATTTTCTCATGGTAAAATGTAATAAAAACTAAAATATCAATGCATTAATTTCTAAACTGCAAAAACTCTGATTCATTGTTTTCCTTCTGTTACATGTTTTTTAATATCTAAAATTAATACATTTTTTGTATTAATTTTACTGATTTTTGTTATATATTTTTTTAGATCAACTAATAATAAAAACCCAGCTGATAGAAGAGAAAACATTATTTGAAGATTGCTACAGTTAAAAAGAAAAGCTGTGTCTGGGTGAGTCATTGGTGAGGGCAAGCAATGATATAGATTCTATGTTCTAGAAATTGGTGTGCTCTCGTTGCATGTGATAATAAAAATAATAAGTATAATATGTGGAAATGGCTTTTATAATTCTTTGCCCCTAATATTGGCCCTATAATAAAAATCATGACAACTTTCTTAACAAAATTAAATCTAAGTTCATAGTTTTCTGGCAAATATCTATTGATCGGATTTTTAAAATCTCCCTTGCCTTGAAAAATACTTCTTACACATTCAGTTAAATAAATACATTATGACTATACCATGATAATTTATATCTCATAAAAATACTGTCAGAGTAGGTTGCTCATTGGCCTTATAGTGAGTAAGCAAGTCCAGCAATGTTTATCTCTAAGAATTAAGAAGTTAGGGATATTGTTTTAGAGGCCATTTTCATTAGCTCAGAATTGTATCTACCTTCAGAAATATTTAACAGAAATACTTTATGTGGTATTGGCCATTTCCTGTAACTTTATTTTAATAACAGATGACTTAGGGAATCTCTTATCTCCTGATTAAATGATGAATTTCTATTAAATTATAAGGCCATTTTTATGACATATGGTTGTTGATTCTCAAGATACTGGCCTGAGAACAATTTTCCCCTTAAATTATTGAAGAGTCAGAAAATTAAAAATGAGATTCATGTTTATAGGAAATAAAGGTGAGCTTTATAAGAAATACACTATCAAAATTTGTGCTTGTATGTTCTTGTGAAGCTCTTTATTTTGATACTTTAATCATTTTATTCCAATTTTGGTGAAGGCAAAGAAAGCAAGATGTTTTCTTATTACTTAGAAATATATATGTAAGAAGCTTTCCTGTTTGTAAGACTAAAATGTATCTAGGCTCTTTAGTACTTTAAGCCATAATGCTCTTAACATTTTTTTTTAAGATTTTATTTATTTGTTTGAGAGAGAGAGAGAGCACAAGCAGGGGGAGGGGCAGAGGGAGAGGGAGAAGCAAACTCCCGCTGAGAGGCTGGATCCCAGGACCCTGGGATCACGACCTGAGCCAAAAGCAGATGCTTAACTGACTGAGCCACCCAAGCATCCAATGTTCTTAACATTTGCAATACATAAAACTATTAATCAAATCCTTAAAGCAAAAATATTGTATAGTTTTAAAAAATTTACCATTGAGTACCATCTATATTTCATAAATATTGATTAATTATATTTATTTCATTTTCTTTGCAGTTTGATTTATATTGTATAGCATATTTCATTTTGGGTTCAATGATGGAGAAAAAGTGTATCCTGTATTTATGGCTAATCTTGCCTTTTTTTATGGTAAGCATAAATTCTTCTAATAAAACTCCCTATTTATGATTATTTGTTTTAACTTCCAATAAACCTATAATTAATAAGGGTTAATAACAACAGAATGACATGCAGTTATTTGATCCATAAATTAAGTACATTTTTAATCCACAAAGCAATATTTTATTACCTTTCAGTGTACACTTTCAGGTTTTATTCAATGGGAGGCACTATAGGATGGTGAGGCAGTGGCAGCGGGGGTGAGATGACAGAGTGAGGAAGGTCAATGATAAAATGTAAAAGACACCAGAGAAAGGTAATTATCAGTTTGAAAGAAAAATGAAATGGCTCTGTATTGTAGTCATACCTAGTAGATTAAATATTTTCAGCCAGACCTGTTGATTCTGAGTTAGATCTATTTAAAAAGCAGATTCCAACCTGTTGGTTTTTCTCTCATTCTGCCAACTGATTGGTTTGTATTAATTGAAACCAAGCACTGTTTCAAATTAATTTCCTTACCCATTCATTCAAATAAGTATTAAGTGTCTTTTTTCTGACAGGCATTGATACTAAGCTTGGGGCAGGTGTGTCTGTGAGTGTGTGCACTCATGCATGCCCCTGCATGCACGTGCGGGGAATGTGAGGCTGAAGGTGGAAGGTAGACTAAGGATGAGTACAAGCCTATTGCTGTACTGGAGGGGTCATATTCCTTATACATATCATGTTATCTTTATTTTCAGATATATCTTGTTCACATTTTTCTCTGTCCCACATGAAGAGTGATGGTACTCTTATCTCATTATATGTATTAGAAACTGAGAGATGTAATCTCATCTAATTCTTTGCCAGCAAATAATCTTCCTGTGGTGTTTTCAAGCATAAAAAGATTCAAACAAAGAAACTCAAGAAAAATATAGAAAACCTAAATGGAAAGAAAGCAAGACTACATTCCTGTCAGCATTTGTATTTGAAAACATTCTCCAGTCCAGGAGCAGTCCAAATCCTGAACTTCTTAGATGTTATCTTAGGTAAATAGACTAGAATTCAAGAAGCAGGACTCCTGTTTCTGCAGCTCGCTTCCTCCACTGAGCGTGCCAATGAGCTGCACCTGCCAACTTTGGTTGCCTGCAGGTAATTCTGTATCAGATTACCAATCTGATTATTGTAATTTAAGGATTGTGACCATTTTTCTTGAATTCATTCAGACAGTGTGCAAATCTGAGATTTTAAGAATAAAAATGATATTGGTTTTATGCAATTCTATAAACTTCCTGAGAACAGGAGAAAAATACTAATTTTCTTGATGCTGTAAATTTACATTTATTGCAGCACAGCTGCTTCATAAATCTTTATTAGGAAATTAAAACTAATCAAAGAATGAGAGAGAGGGTGAATGTTAAATGGTGGGCAGGCTATAGTGAAATTGAGTGGTACCACACACTGAGGGAATATTACTATTTAGACTTTATTAAATACAAGTTTGGGCTAGAGAACAGAGAATCAAGAATAAGGGGACAAGGGAAATACAAATCAAAACCACAACGAGATACCACCTTATACCAGTCAGAATGGCTAAAATGAACAAGACAGGAAATAACAAATGTTGGCGAGGATGTGGAGAAAGGGGAACCCTCTTACACTGTTGGTGGGAATGCGAACTGGTAAAGCCACTCTGGAAAACAGTATGGAGGTTCCTAAAGAAGTTAAAAATAGAGCTACCCTACGACCAAGCAATTGCACTACTGGGCATTCACCCCAAAGATACAGATGTAGTGAAAAGAAGGGGCACCTGCACCTCAATGTTCATAGCAGCAATGTCCACAATAGCCAAACTGTAGAAGGAGCCAAGATGTCCTTCAGCAGAAAAATGGATAAAGAAGATATGGTTCATATATACAATGGAATATAACTCAGCCATCAGAAAGGATGAATACCCACCATTTACATCAACGTGGATGGAAAGCAAGGGTATTATGCTAAGTGAAATAAGTCAATCAGAGACAGACAATTATCATATGGTTTCACTCATGTGGAATATAAGAAATAGCACAGAGGATCATAGGGGAAGGGAGGGAAAACTGAATGGGAAGAAATCAGAGAGGGAGACAAACCATGAGAGACTTTTGACTTTGGGAAAGAAACTGAGGGTTGCTGGAGGGGAGGTGGGTGGGGGGGATAGGGCAACTGGGTGATGGTCATTAAGGAGGGCATATGATATGATGAGCACTGGGTGTTATATGCAACTAATGAATCAACACTACATCAAAAACTAAAGATGTACTTATATGTTGGCTAATTGAATTTAAATTTTAAAAAAAGAATAAGGGGACAAAATAAAAGTAGAAAATTACTGCTTATGGAAAATAATAGAAATAATGGAAAAGTGAAGAAGAAATAAGGTTGAAGAGAGGTTATACAGCTTCATGTTACAAAACAAACAAAAAGTCATGTAGATATTAAAACTGAAGTGAAGCTTAAAATAGTGCTACTAAACTGGAAGATCATAAATATATACCTTGTCCAAAAACATTTATTGATGTGCGTTCAATGAAAATTCCATTTACCCACACCATAAATGAATATTCTCAATATTGTGATTATCAAAATATGATGATAAAAATGACGACAATTTTGAATATTTGCCATGTGTCAGATACTTCCCCTCTGTTATCTTGATAATATTTTACCCCATTTTACAATAAGAAAGCAGAGGATTAAATATCTTGCCTATATTCACAGAGCAGGTGAAAAAGTAGAGGTGGACTTTGAGTACAGCTCTGTTTGTATTCCAGAACACATGTCGAGCCAGCTCCCACAGGCTTCTGAGAACTGTCTATAGACTAGACTTCCCAGAGCTGCCATTGGCAGCTGTTTGGGGGCACTTGAAATCAAACATGGTGGGGATATTTATTTATTTATTTATTTATTTTTAAAGATTTTATTTGTTTGACAGAGACAATGAGAGAGGGAACACAAGCAGGGGGAGTGGCAGAGGGAGAAGCAGACTCCCCGCCGAGCAGGGAGCCTGATGGGGGGCTCGATCCCAGGACTCTGGGATCATGACCCGAGCCGAAGGCAGACGCTTAACTGACTGAGCCACCCAGGCGCCCCCATGGTGGGGATATTTAAACCATGAAAATTGGCAAACACTTCAGATCAGGGATTTCCCCCCCAGAGCCAAATGACCATGTAGCATATCATTGCAGTGACTGTTTCCCACTGTGACAGACTGCCTCTGACAGACATTCTCACAATTCTGAAGTTGTTTCTTTTCTTTTTTTTAATCCCTTAGATTCTTGACATAGCAGAATCAGAAGAGAACATCGAAGGCTTAAGTCAGTTGGGTGTCTATACTAGAAATAAAATCATGACGGCTCAATATGAATGTTACCAAAAAATTATGCAAGACCCTATTCAACAAACAGAAGGTAAACATGACTTCTTAATTTTAAATGCATTTGATATATTTTTAAAAGAAAACTACTCCATTACATCATTTATGGGTTCCTTAGGTCCATTACTAAAAATGGGTTAATGAGAGACGACGGACTCTGAAAAACTGAGGGTTCTAGAGGGGAGGGGGTGGGGGGATGGGTTAGCCTGGTGATGGGTATTAAAGAGGGCACATTCAGCGTGGAGCACTGGGTGTTATGCACAAACAGTGAATCATGGAACACTACATCAAAAGTTAATGATGTAATGTATGGTGATTAACATAACAATAAAAAATTAAAAAATTAAAATACTTAAGATTATTAAAAAATGGGTTAGTTGTTAGCTTTCCTGACGTGGGCATTCTTAATTATATTTGAGCATTTTATGACATAACTTATCTTGCTTCTTTTAAAAAATTCTAATAAAGTATGTGTAACAGGAATATTTTTAGTAACATTTTTTATGGTACAAAGATATTTAAAATATCAAATGTGTGTCTTGAATTAAATTGGTGGCTGTTGATCTTCAGTTTATGTAATTTGTATTTCTTTTTTCACAAGCTGCTTGATAGGAGTTTGCACAATAAAATTATAATTTTTTTGTATAATGTGCTTTGCATAATACATTTAGTAGCAATGCTAATGAAGTCTAAGTGCTTCTGTTTCTATTAAGATATTCTTTAGATATTTTTGTAACATTACTGAGGGACTGCTAAATGCCAGATGTCTGCCTTGATTCTGAAGATACACAGATGAGTAGCACAATTAGAGTTGCCAGATTTGACAAAAACAAAATCAAAAATCAAAACCAAAAGCAGGCCCTGTATTTTATCTGGCAACACTAAAGACAGTGTATATCTTCAAAATAGAAAATGCAAAACTCACAACAAAACATAGCAAAATGTAAAGACTTGATATTTATAAATTATCGGTGGAAACAAAGATCCTAAAATTTTTGGAAAAATATTGGATGGTATAATATATAATGTTTCTTATATAAACAAAATGTTAAAAGTAGGGTATTATTAATATTTATAATGGACAAAATGAACTTGCTTGTGAGGAAAAAAGTGATTTTCCCACACTGGGCAACTTTTAGAATCTTAATGAACAATTCTTAATGAAGAATCTACTGAACAATATAATATGCTTATCTTTTGAGAAGTATTTAGATATATCTATCCAAATATTTTTATTATGAGGAATTTATTCAGTTAAAACTATCTTTGAAATATACAATGACAAACTATCTGCTATTATGTCAATAGGGGCTAAATTATCAAGTACATGAATTGTATACAAATTCTGTGTTAATCCATCTGGCTTCTCACTTTATTCCATTAAAATCTAAGTGTTATAAGCTTAAAATGATTGAATTAACCCCTTCCAGATCATGTAGATATATGTAAAAATAGTCTTCAAGTCTAATTGTCAAACAACAGGAATATCTTTGTGAGATAATTTTGTGATAAAATAATTTTAGAATCACTGCATAATCAATCTTCCTGTTGGAGCTTCATAACAGACTTTGTAATTTTAAATAATCTAGAAAGTCTTGCAATAAAGAATGTTATTTTAACTTTGTGCTTCCCTAATTTTTTTTTAAAGATTTTATTTATTTATTTGACAGAGAGACACAGCGAAAGAGGGAACCCAAGCAGGAGGGTTGGGAGAGGGAGAAGCAGGCTTCCAATTGAGCAGGGAGCCCGATGTGGGGCTCGATCCCAGGACCCTGAGATAATGACCTGAGCCGAAGGCAGACGCTTAACTGACTGAGCCACCCAGGCACCCCGCAAATCTTTTGACCATAGAAACTCTTTTAATGGAATACCTATTCCTGTCTCGCTCAAATGCCATACAACACAGTTTGAAAGTTTCTGAACTTCCAATCTATCATACTGCCAGTGTTGTCATTAATTAGATAGAATCTTTTGGACCAGTGATAAGGACTTCTTTGAGATGCTTTCTATCAGGGAATTCTTCTCTGAGAGGCCACAATATACATTTTATTTAGTAATATATGAATGCAGACTATTTAAATAAGTGTTTGAAAAATCACAGGAGGAAAAAACTGAGATGATCTGAGTTCTCTTTTTAATTAGAATTATTTATAGTTTCAGGCCAGTCGAATTTTCCTGCTCCCATGAAGGTTAGATTGATTCTGAGATTGTGGCACAAATCTGTTATAAATAATAAACATCTCATACAACAGTCGGGCAGATGCTTGCCTGACAAGGTGGAAAATTATTTTCTTTGATTATAGACTGTTACAACATTGGAACACTGGTCATTTTATTTCTCTATGCCTTTAAAAAAATTTATATTTTTTTCATGTAAGAGGTACTTTCTCTTCAGGTTGGTAAAAGGAAACTGTGAGAATGTTAAACACTCTATTTGTGTTTTGAAAAGTAAAGGAAGGCAAGTAAGAGCTAGAATTTGGTAGAGGGGTTTAAATATCTGTTAGGGTCAATGTAGTGAAATGGGAAATGTTGGAGTGTCCATTTTTTTTCCAGAAAATACTAACACCTTGCCTAAGAACACAATTTCTAAGATAACACATTTTCTAAATTCCCATATTTTTTTAAAATTTTAAGCGTAGGGACACTAACTACTACCTTTATGGTTAAGGACAACCAGCAAAGACCGTTTGATTTATTGAATGAATGGCTACCTTCGAGAATTGAAATTAAAGTTAAACTTTTAAATATACTCTTATAGATATTTCTAAATTGAATTTTGCAGTTATTCCAATAATACTTGGTGAAAAATTTAAGTAATAGCTATAGCTTTTATAAGATGTCTTCATTTTCAGTCGGTGGTCTGTATGTCACGTCAGTATGAACCCACCAGTAAGACTTTACATCTTCAGGTATTACTAGAGGGACTAGTAATCACTGATGTTTACTCTCCCCTTCAGGCATTTACTGCAACAGAACCTGGGATGGGTGGTTATGCTGGAATGATGTTGCTGCGGGAACTGAGTCAATACAGCACTGCCCTGATTACTTTCAAGACTTCGACCCATCAGGTAAAAGCAGAAATGTATATACAGATCTGCTTGATATTAAATAAACCCTAAGTTAACCAAGTTACCGTTTTCTTCTTTCCTTTTTAATTTTAAAGAAAAAGTTACAAAGATCTGCGACCAAGATGGAAACTGGTTTAGACATCCAGAAAGCAACCGAACATGGACAAATTATACCCAGTGTAATGTTAACACACAGGAGAAAGTGAAGGTATGGAATACATATAAATGGAAATGTAATTGATACTCTTTAAAAAGTTAGTTGCTGATACGGTATTGGAGAAAATTTGCTTTGTGTTCTATTCTATTGTAAAGTCTTTTCATAATATACTTTGAGAAAAACAATGGAGAAAAATCTTTGTGGAAATAATCATTCATTCTGTCATGACGTTGAGGAAGCAATCGTGTTAGGTAATACTGTATTTACAAGTCAATGTGTCAGTACTGGAGTTTCAAATTTCCCAAAGAAAACATACTTTAAAAGTATAAGAAAAGGGAACATTTCATTGGTATTGGAATTTTGAGACCTAAGTTCAGGAATTGTGCTCAAGTAAACAAGGGAAGCCCAGCAGGGTTTAAATAGCTCTCTCTGTCCCTCAACAGAAGGCTGTCCTTCCAACTGGCTGCTAGGTTATTCTTGCTCACATTCCCACTTTTAGACCATACATTAAAGTCAAGGTTAGTCACAGTTTGTCACAACAATTAAGCTTTTATAGAAAGTGCCTGCATATGTTTGCACATGGGGGAACATAGAGGAAGTTTGTCAGTGATTGAAACTGAGTCCTGAAATCTGATTTCCGCTTCCTGCTCTTTACCAGCTAGATGCCCGCAGGCAAGCTATAACCCCTCTCTGCCTCAGTTCCCTTGTGTATAAAATGAAGATAACAATAAACCCACTCTCGAGGTTTTCATAGGGATTGACTTAATACAGAAAAAACCTTAGAAAACTACAGGCATAGAATAAGCACTTGATAACTGTCAGCTATCATTATAATTATAAATCATGTATTCTTTGCTTTTTCAGAGAAAGGTTTAAAGAGAATTATAAAAATACACAATAAAATGATAAGTTACAAATAGATGGAATACAGAAAAATAAAAAAATCAAAGCAGATCAAAGGCTCCTATAATTACTATATTGAGATTTGTCTTAGAGTTTCAAATTGTCAAAGGAAAAAGAAAAACCCAGTAGGAAAGAAAGCCTTATCTAAAGAAAACACACAAAAATAATTACATAGCATTTGATTTAATGTGCACAAAGTGATAGAGTGAAAATTGTCGCTATCTTTCAAAACATAAAATGCTAGTTTCATATATTACACAACCTAGATCAATAAAATTATTCCTTCCTATCATATGACTTCTAATTTCTTAAATAAAAAGGGCATACAATTTATAAATTTTGATGTCACTTGATAAATTTCCATATACTCTTCATTCCAGATGTATTCAAATATCTAATGCAAGCTAAATGGTAAGGCTATCAGAGCACATATTTTTAAAAATACAATTTATTCTATTGATTTGAGCTTATACAGATGGAGGATTATATTACTGATATGAGCCTTACTTGTTTTTTTATCCACACAAATTGTAGACTGCACTGAATTTGTTCTACCTGACTATAATTGGACATGGATTATCTATTGCTTCACTGCTTATCTCGCTTGGCATATTCTTTTATTTCAAGTAAGTACATGTAAAATATTTTTTAATTTACAAGTTGTCATTGGTGAATGCAGTGCCATGTGCATGTTTATGTCATGTGCTGATAAAATATATGAAATATAAATGACATAACATTTAAAATAAATTGAATGTTTAAAATAATTTGAAATATATTGAACTTATCTTGACTTTGTAAAATATATAGAGCAGAGATTGGTGAAAATCTGAAACCCAACTTTACAAAATTAGTAGACATATAAAAACAAAGTCATGTGTGAGAAGAGAGCCAAAATCATTATGTAAATCCATCTGTATTTGTTTTAGAAACTGTCAAATATTATAGGCTTTCTTAATTGAATTTTCAACTTCTAGGTCAATTTTTGTGCCAGTATACATGGTACATTACAGAAACTGGTATTTTGTGTGAATAATGGCAATGGAATTTGATATATATTATTAAATCTAATAATTTAAATATATTATGGTTAGATTACTTTTCCTTGTTTGGGAGGTCATCACTAATATAGTTAACTTATATTTTGAATTTTACTTGAAATTTACTTCCTTTTTTGAGGGGGGAGAGTCAACTCCAATTTCTTGATTTAACCAATCAACAAGTGATGTTTTAAATTAATGGGAAGGAAATTCCAAAACGTGCATACAATATTTTACTTATTAACATGGTTTTCATAATTTTGATCACCACCAATAATTATAGAATGCAGTGTGAAGAGTGAGTAGCTGTACATTGTATCTTCATTACGATTGTCATTATCTTCCTCCTCTTCCTCCGCCTCCTCTTTCTTCTTCAACAATTGTCTTGGAACATTAGCAGCTTCAGAATCAGCTAGAGTAGTAGTACATCACAATAATCCAAACCCAGAAATTATCAGGCAGCTGGATGTTAGATACATATGTAACTAGAGAACCAGCTTTGGCCCACAGTCCATCAGATATTCAGAGTATATCGAATAATATATGAACCAAACAACCATTGTCTCTCATGGCTTCAAAATCACAGGATCTAGAGATTGCATCAGAATTGCTGTTTTTGGAAACCTGTGCCTTTTTAAACATCTTCAAGATCAGTTACTTTGAGGAATCCACATAAATACTTTTTAATGGCACGTTTGATTTAGAACATTATCTAGGCACCATTAGAAAGTGACTTTAAAAAACTCCCCTCTGAATAAAGCTAATTAAGCATTTGTATACATTTTTATATTTGACATGTTTTCTTTGGTAAATTATGTAAAAATGTATCAAAGTCAGTTGAAAAGAATTTTTATCCTAAAATATGGAAAACATTTCTTAAGGAATTAAATTTACTATACTATATTTTGCAACAAGTTATCAAAAGTGTCTTGCTCAAAACAAATTGCCAGTTCTCAGTCAATGCCTTTATAATTAGTTATGTCATATCAGTTGCTTATATATAACTTAAAACTTCATGACTTTACGCTTAAATATATTCTCTCCTTACACAAGATTTTTAAATGAATACTGTCTCTGGAGTAGGAAAAACTTTATTATGATTGTATAATAGATTAAAAATATCTGTTCTAAAAAATAGAAAATAAACCATTTTCCAAAGTAATAATTTTTATTTATTTATTTCTTAATTTTTTTAAAGATTTCAATTATTTATTTGAGAGAGAGAGTGAGAGAGAGAGAAAGAAAGCATGAGCAGGGGGAGGGGCAGAGGGAGAGGGAGAAGGAGACTCCCAGCTGAGCAGGGAGCCCACAGGACTCTGGGATCATGACCTAAGCTGAAGGCAGATGCTTAACCGACTGAGCCACTCAGGCACCCAAAGTGAAAATTTTTAAATAAAGTCCTCTGGTCCATAGTGATATATAATTTATGCTAATTGACAAAGTGAAGCAATGTTGCTGATGCTAACAAACTTATTGGTAAAATAGGGCAATGAAAATTAGTTAATATTTAGTGACTTTAAAAACACAAAATGAAATTAAAATTTCAAGTCTCATTTAGTATAATAAAATGACTAAACAGTTTCACAAGGATATAGTTCATTTCTTTTCTTATTCATGAAGACAGAATCTTTACAATTTAAAAATACAAAATTGTCTAAATTTGAAAATAGAACTCTCTTGGCTCTTAGAACTAAATAATGCAATTAATTGTCAATAAATTTATGCAGTACTCCTAGAACTCAGATTTTTAGTTCATGAAAATTACGTATCTACCGCACTGTACATACCATACAAAAACACAGAGAGAATGAATTTATTTATTTATTTATTTATTAAGATTTTATTTATTTTATTTGAGAGCGAGAATGAGAGAGAGAGAGAGCATGAGAGGGGGGAGGGTCAAAGGGAGAAGCAAACTCCCTGCTGAGCAGGGAGCCCGATGCGGGACTCGATCCCAGGACTCCGGGATCATGACCTGAGCTGAAGCCAGTCGCTTAACCAACTGAGCCACCCAGGCACCCCAGAAGAATGAATTTAAATGTAACTATTAGCTAAGTTTCTTTTTTCTTAACATGAAAATTCTTACAACTATGACTGAATATAAAGATCAGCCTCTATCCTAAAGGCATAAAATAGAAATAATAAGAGTTGTTTAATTCTATTTCACAAATCGTGGGGAAAAGTTACAAGTTTTAACTATTTCTAACCTCAGGAAAAAGATTTAATTAAAAACAAACTACAATCTTGAGAAACAAGACTTGCCCTTAAATTTGCAATACTTTTTAAAAAATCAAAAACAATTTAAGCATGTTACTTAAATAAAGAAAAGAAATATATACACCTGTAATTTTAAGATCTATTCAGCACCTGTAACTTTAATATCCTATTGAGCAATTTCTTACATTTTTGCAGTTTATTTCACATTCATTTGTTTTTACTGTTTTGTTATATACAAAGTGTTAACTATTTTTATAATTTAGTATTATATAATTTTTTCCATGTACCTAAAGAGTTTTTAAAACTCTTTAGCTTATTATTTAGTCATTTAATTTGCTAAATAATATTGCATTTAGTAAGTCGACAAAGGTTTATTAAATTATTCCTCGATTTTTGAGCACTAATATTACTTCCAATTTTTCCAATTAATAAAAAACACTGCAATGGACATTTTCAGACATAACTTTTCCCATATTTCACACTATTTTTTAGGCTACATTCCCAGAGACTTGGGATTTCTTGGTCAAAAGGTATATATCTTTTTATGGTTCTTGAAATACATCATCTGTTTTTTTATTATATTATGTTAATCACCATACATTACATCATTAGTTTTTGATGTAGTGTTCCATGCTTCATTGTTTGCATATAACACCCAGTGCTCCATGCAGTACGTGCCCTCTCTAGTACTCATCACCAGGCTAACCCATCCCCGTACCCCCCTCCCCTCTAGAACCCTCAGTTTGTTTCTCAGAGTCTATAGTCTCTCATGGTTGGTCTCCCCCTCCGATTTCCTCCCCCTTCATTTTCCCTTCCTGCTATCTTTTTTTTTTAACATATAATGTATGATTTGTTTCAGAGGTACAGGTCTGTGATTCAACAGTCTTACACAATTCACAGTGCTCACCATAGCACATACCCTCCCCAATGTCTGTCACCCAGCCACCCCATCCCTCCCACCCCCACCACTCCAGCAACCCTCAGTTTGTTCCCTGAGATTAAGAATTCCTCATATCAGTGAGGTCATATGATACATGTCTTTCTCTGACTGACTTATTTCGCTCAGCATAATACCCTCCAGTTCCATCCATGTCGTTGCAAATGGCATTCCTTTTGATGGCTGCACAATGTCCACAATAGCCAAACTATGGAAAGAGCCAAGGTGTCCATCAACAGATGAATGGATAAAGAAGATGTGTTATTTATATACAATGGAATATTATGCAGCCATGAAATACATCATCTTAAAAGCATCTCAAAGTCAACATGTCTGAAACAAATCCATAGCATGTACCTCCTCCTAAGCAAAGCAGTTTTTCTTCCAGAGTGACCCATCTTTGAGAATACTACCACCAGCCATCTAGTTGAATTAGGAGCAATCTGTGGCATCTTCTCAATTTTCTTCCCTGTCCTTCTTCCTCAGACTCTGTGGATTTAGCCTTGCAACAGCCCTCCAATCTATGCAATTTTTTTTCATTTCTACTGCCACCACCATCACCCTTGTGTTATCTAGCCTCAGTAAATCCCCTTCACCACCTTCATTCAATTCTAAACAATGCAGCCAGAATATTTTCAAAGCTTTAGATGAAATACAGATATGATTTTGTCATCCTTTGCTTTAAAAACCTTAAACTTTCTACTGTAATTTATATAAAACCAAAATCATTAATGTATCCTATAATTGAATATCTTGCCTATCCTCCCACCCCAGCCTATTTAAATGTATTCAACTTTCAGATCTAAACTGTAGCATCAGTTCCTCAGTGAAATCTTCCCAAATTCCTTATTGTAGCATTACTAAAACGCAACTAGTTACAGTGGACGCGGAGTAAATTTTTAATTACCATTTTAGGAGACCGACCACCTATCACTGTAGATTTAAAACTAATACAACTGAGACCCTTTAGATTAAATAATCTCTTTTTATTTTCCACATAACAAGTCAAAATGTGCAAGCACGTTAAATATCTGAATGACATGAAGTTAAGCAGCATAGCAATTACATTGCATGCCAAAATCAGAAGTCAAAAAGAGAATAATAGTCCCCTAGTATACAAAGTCCTAGGGTTGCAAACAAGTTTGAATTTAGCAAGGATGTAAATAAAGTCCCACACTAATTCTATAAAGTCAGATGTAAAATTAACAAAGCTTCTTCGTGAAAGAATCTGTGACTTAACTGAGCAAATGCTTGCTGTGAACTAATGAGGCAGCAGTGGGACTGCCTAGTGAAAACAATGCTACAAGCCAGAATATAGCAGTAAATGCAAAGTATTAAATTCCAAATCTCTAATCAGACCAGTCCTTTACTCTGTCACTATGGACTGACTTTGTAAGAGGAAAAGAGGATGTTAAAAGATTTGGCTTATCAC